AAAATAAATATAAATTTTCTCTCACCTCTTCCAATAGTTCTCTTGAATTCTGAGAACTCTGCAATGTTTTAAGATTTTATTATGATGTGTTTATATTGAAGTATTTTTTATAAATTTATTAATAAAAATTTCAAAATTTAAGATGATTATATGGAATTTGTGATGATATAGATGATAATTATAGAGTAGTACGACTGTATTATAAATTATATAATAAAACTACACAAAATAATTTATTAAAATTTATTTATTGTTAATTGTATAATTTTTAACCAAATTTTAATTATTTGACGAAGCTTTTACAAAATTATATATTTAGATTTATAAAAAACAATAATTTATTTATTTATATAAATATTTAACAAAATTTAAATTAAGATTACAAAAACCAAACAAAAACTATACAATTTATGTACAAATACTTTTTATTAGGTCGCAAGAGCAAAATTAACTTCTGATATATAATTTCATTTTTATATCAGCATATAGTAGCAATGGTAAATGTTAATTATTTTTATAAGTTTAACCGGTTATATGAGCTAATTTTGTAATTTTTATAAATGGTTACTCTGAACTAGTTGCTATAAATGGTTATTCTGAACTAGCTATTATAGTTTATAACGTATTAACAGACGTGATATGCTAGCCAGTCCAACGGGTTTTGATTCTGAAGACAACGATTTAAGTCCCACATTGGATCAGTATAGTTAACCTCTAAATACTTAACATCCCTAGAAATAATGCTTGTAGAAATAGATGAAGTTGCATTTTTGATAATAATGTTGTAAGTGCATCAAAAATTGAACTTTTGTAAACTTTACATAGAAATTGAGCAAACAATAAATTTCACCATTTCACCAAATTTTTATTTTGGTGTAATTTTAGCGAAATTATTTCACCATTTGCCGGTGAAATCGCCTAATTTCACCAGTAACTTTAATTGGGAGCCAATAACTGGTAACAACAGACAGATAACCAAACATAACCGACCGACCTACTAGTCGAGAATCGACACATTCGAATCGGTTATGATCAAGCTCTGGATGGGTTATGTTACTAGCCTCACATTAGGCACATATATTTGACCCATTTTGATTATTATTGCACCTAATTGCATGTAACATATGATTCCTGACCAAATTTCCGTTTTTTCAATCCATGACTACCTATTATGTTGACTGGAATTTCAGCAATAGTAACAGGAATGGAACCTACATTATATAGATAGATATTACGTTAAATAATATCATAACAGCAATATTATAGTGTAAATAATACCCAATACCATATATGTCAAACGGGTTGTTTCTTTTTCTATATTGCTGAGCAATTTCATCCGTATTAATTAATTTACTTGTATATCGATATTCAGAGTGTTCTTTCAAATCTTTCAAATTTTTTGAAAGCTCTGGGATTTTCATATCAGCAGCCATAAATTCACTAATTATTTGTGATTTTTCATTAGATTTATCGGGCTCACCAAATCTATCCGGTTTATTAGATTCATCAAGTTTGTCGGATTTATAAAATTCATTAGACTCATCAAATTCGTCAGATTCATCAAGTTCGTCAAATTCGTCTGGTC